TTTTTTTTTTTTTTTTTTGTCCTTTTCAGAGTCGTAGCCTTTTATTTTTTATTTTTTTGTTGGTTCTGAAACAACATCCAGACGAGTAAAGCGGGGAGCGCATGCAGCGGGCGCCTCCGACACATGCACGATGCAGGCAGCGCTTGGATTTGGGCTTTTTTTGTGCTTTTTACACATTTTCCTCTTTTTTTTGGTCGTTTTTAAAAACATTTTTTTTTTTCCCGGTCTGAACCGGATTCGAGTTGTTTCGTTTTGAATTTTGGTGGGTTTTTTTTTGTTTTTTTTTTTGTCGTTTTTGCTTCAGCGAGGGATTTGCGCGATGCCATGAAGGGGACGGACGCACACGCACACGCGGGGACATCACGCTCACGGGGACACCAGCCGGGACAAGGGGACATCACGGGGGGGTTTGGGGACAGTTTGGGACCTGCCACCCCCTCAGCTGGCCTTGTCACCCCCCTCACCTGGCGCTGTCACCCCCTGGTTTGGCACTGTCACCTCTCGGCTCGGCATCAGTGACGCTGAGTGGGGAGACGTGGCTTGGGGACAAGCCCCAGAATTGGTGACAGCTTGGGGACACCACGGTGGGGACACTGAGATGGGGACACCAAAATTTGGGACACCAAATTGGGGACACCAAGATGGGGACAATGAGATGGGGACACCAAATTAGGGACACCAAATTTGGGACACCAAGATGGGGACATCAAATTTGGGACACCAAGATAGGGACACCAAATTGGGGACACCAAATTGAGGACACCAAATTTGGGACACCAAATTAGGGACACCAGATTGGGGACACTGAGATGGGGACACCAAGATGGGGACACCAAATTAGGGACACCAAATTGGGGACACCAAATTTGGGACACCAAGATGGGGACACCAAACTGGGGACACCAAATTGGGGACACCAAGATGGGGACACCAAATTAGGGACACCAAATTGGGGACACCAAATTGGGGACACCAAGATGGGGACACCAAATTAGGGACACCAAATTGGGGACACCAAATTTGGGACACCAAAGTGGGGACACCAAATTTGGGACACCAAGATGGGGACACCAAATTGGGGACATCAATGTGGGGACATCAAATTTGGGACACCAAGATAAGGACAATGAGATGGGGACACCAAGATGGGGACACCAAGATGGGGACACCAAAGTGGGGAGACCAAGATGGGGACACTGAGATGGGGACACTAAATTTGGGATACCAAATTGGGGACACCAGTGTGGGGACATAAACTTTGGGACACCAAGATGGGGACAATGAGATGGGGACAATGAGATGGGGACAGCGAGATGGAAACACCAAATTAGGGACACCAAGGCGGGGACAACGTGGTGGGGGACACCAAAGTGTGGACACCAAACTGGGGACACCAAATTTGGGACACCAAGATAGGGACAATGAGATGGGGACACCAAGATGGGGACACTGAGATGGGGACACCAAATTAGGGACACCAAGGTAGGGACAACATGGTGGGGACACCAAAGTGTGGACACCAAGATGGGGACACCAAATTTGGGACACCAAAGTGAGGACACCGTGCTGGGGACGCTAAAGTGGGGACATTGAGGTGGGGACACTGAGGACAGCTCCCTCCAGTGTCATTTTTGGTGGTGTCCCCATGGAGGGTGGCACTTGTCAACCCTCCATGACATTTTTGTGGGTGTCCTCAAGTAGGTGGCATTGTCACCCTCCAGGTGGGTGTCCCCAAGGGGGTGGCATTGTCACCTCCATCTGAGTGTCCCCACAGGGGTGGCATTGTCACCTCCATCTAGATGTCACCCATGGAAGGTGGAATTGTCACCCCCATGTGGGCGTCCCCAAGGGGATAGTATTGTCACCTCCATACGGGTGTCCCCACGGGGGTGGCATTGTCACCTCCATACAAATGTCCCCAAGGGGGTGGCATTGTCACCCATGGAAGGTGGAATTGTCACCCCCATGCGGGCGTCCCCTAGTGGGTGGCATTGTCACCTCCATACGAGTGTCCCCACAGGGGTGACATTGTCACCTCCATCTAGATGTCCCCACGGGGGTGGCATTGTCACCTCCATGTGGGTGTCCCCACAGGGGTGACATTGTCACCTCCATACGAGTGTCCCCAAGGGGGTGACATTGTCACATCCATGTGGGTGTCCCCAAGGGGGTGACACTGTCACATCCATGTGGTTGTCCCCACAGGGGTGCCATTGTCACCTCCATACAAATGTCCCCACAGGGGTGACATTGTCACCTCCATACGAGTGTCCCCAAGGGGGTGGCATTGTCACCTCCATGTGGGTGTCCCCAAGGGGGTGACATTGTCACCTCCATACGAGTGTCCCCACAGGGTTGACATTGTCACCTCCATATGAGTTTTCCCACAGGGTTGACATTGTCACCTCCATGTGGGTGTCCCCAAGGGGGTGACATTGTCACCTCCATGTGGGTGTCCCCAAGGGGGTGACATTGTCACCTCCATGTGGGTGTCCCCACAGGGGTGGCATTGTCACCTCCATCTGAGTGTCCCCACAGGGGTGACATTGTCACCTCCATACAAATGTCCCCACGGGGGTGACATTGTCACCTCCATACGGGTGTCCCCACGGGGGTGGCATTGTCACCTCCATGTGGTTGTCCCCACAGGGGTGCCATTGTCACCTCCATACGAGTATCCCCAAGGGGTGACATTGTCACATCCATGTGGGTGTCCCCACAGGGGTGGCATTGTCACCTCCATACAAGTGTCCCCAAGGGGGTGACATTGTCACATCCATGTGGGTGTCCCCACGGGGGTGGCATTGTCACCTCCATGTGGATGTCCCCACAGGGGTGGCATTGTCACCTCCAGCCAGCAGCTGCTGCCGCGCCCCCTCCTCGGGCGCCACGAGGTGACAGAAGGTGACAGGGCGGGGCAGGGGAGGGGACAGCGCCAGGTGCCACCACCACCCCCTGGCAGCTGCGGCTTTGCTACAGCGAATCCACTTTGGTAGCCAGAAAAAAAAAATAAATTAATTAAAAATCAAATTAATTGCGAACGCATCCGCGACTGCTATTGCTGCTGGCACTGGGGCGCGGGACGGCGTCCCCAAGGCCACCAGGGGACACCTGGTGACACCTGGGGACACCTGGGGACAAGGAGAGAGGGCGGGGACTCAGCGCGACACGAGGAGCTCTAAACCTAAGCGGGGATTTGGAATCCAGCCCCTAAATAATTCCGGACGTGATTTATTTATTTATTTCTCTTCTTTTTCCTCTTCTCTTTTTTTTTTTTTTTTTTTTTTTTTTTTTTTTTTTTCTTTTTTTTTTTTTTTTTTTTTTTTTTTTTTTTTTTTTTTTTTTTTAGATTATTTTCCCCTCTTTAAATATTTATATATAGATTTATATTACGTATATTATATATATATAATATGTAAATATATTTTTTAAAACAATATAAAATGTTAAGACACTTCACTTAAATGTAAAGAGTTGCTTTTTTTGCAATCCAAAGAAATTGCATCATGATTTTTTTTTTTCCTTTTTTTTTTTTTTAAAACTTTTTTTCTTTTTTTTTTTTTTGTTTTTTTTTTTTTTTTTTTTTGGTTTTTTGTCCTTTTTTTTTGCGTGTGTTTTCTCTTTGTTATTCAAAAAAAAGGCTCTCGTTTCTTCTGTACAAAAATGACCAAGATACAAAAAAAAAAATAAAATAAAAAACAAAACCACAAAATCAGAGGAAAGGGGGGAAAGGACGAAAAAGGAATTGAAATTCAAATAAAACCCAAAAATAATCAAATAATCAACCCAAGGACGAAATGGAGAACGGAAGGAGTGATCGGATCTCGTGCTGCACACACAGAGCACATGAACACGCACAGCTGGGCACACCTGGGCACACCTGGAGTGCACCTGGGCACACCTGGGCACACCTGGGCACACCTGGCATACACCCAGAACACATATGGGTACACCTGGGCACACCTGGAGTGCACCTGGGCACACCTGGGCACACATAGGTACACCTAGAGTACGCTCAGAGTACACCTGGGCACACCTGGGCACACCTGGAGTACACCCAGAGCACACGTGGGCACACCTAGAGTACACCTAGGCACACCTGGAGTACACCCAGAGCACACCTGGTGCACACCTGGGCACAGCCAGGTGCGCCTGGCACACCTGAGGAGCACCTGGGCACTGCTGGGGCACAGCTGGGCACACCTGAGATGTACCTGGATACACCCGGGCACAGCTGGGGTGTCCCTGGGCACAGCTGGGACACGCCTGAGATGCACCTGGGCACAGCTGGGGTCTACCTGGGCATACCTGGGGTGTCCCTGGGCACACCTGTGCACACCTGGAGCCCACCTGTGGCACACCTGGGGTCTACCTGGGCATACCTGGGGTGTCCCTGGGCACACCCATGCACACCTGGAGCCCACCTGGGCACACCTGGGGTCTACCTGGGCACACCTGGGGTGTCCCTGTGCACACCTGGGCACACCTGGGCTGTACCTGGGCACACCTGTGCACACCTGGAGCCCACCTGTGGCACACCTGGGGTCTTCCTGGGCACACCTGGGGTGTCCCTGTGCACACCTGGGCACACCTGGGGTCTACCTGGGCACACCCGTGCACACCTGAAGCCCACCTGGGCACACCTGGGGTCTACCTGGGCACACCTGGGGTGTCCCTGTGCACACCTGGGCACACCTGTGCACACCTGGAGCCCACCTGTGGCACACCTGTGCACACCTGGGCACACCTGGGGTCTACCTGGGCACACCTGGGGTGTCCCTGGGCACACCTGTGCACACCTGGGCACACCTGGGCTGTACCTGTGCACACCTGGACCCGCCCGGTGCCCCCCACCCCAGGCTGGGCAGAACCGGGGCTACTCCCCCGGGGGGGTGCTCCGGGACACCGGTCCCCAACCGGGAGGTGACAAAACCGCACCGGGTCACCCCCCCCCGCCGGGACCCCAATTCCCCAATTCCCAATTCCCAATTCCCCAATTCCCAATTCACACCCGCGCCCTGCGGCCCCTCCGGCACTCGCGGGGACCCCCCGGCGCCACTCGCGGGGACCCGGGCGCGGTGGTGGCGCTGGTGGCGGAGGTGACGAGGAGCCGGGATGTCCCCGAGCCTTCGGCCTCGCCGGGCACCCACCGGGGAGCCCCGGCCGGGGCTGTCCGCTCCTCCCGCGGGGACAGCGCCGCGGCGCCCGGGGCGCTCGGGGGTCGCTCCGGGGGTCGCTCCGAGCGTGTCTTGGGGCGCCGCTGCTTCCCGGTTTTCCGCGAGGTGGGAGCTGGGAGCTGCTCCTGGCTGGAGGCTGGTGGGGGGAAGCTCGGAGAGCTCTTAAATAAATAGAAAAAAAT